TATTTGATGACGTGGAGCTCTCATATAGGCCGCTCGGCCATACATCGCCCCGTCATCTTTATTTGATGACGTGGAGCTCTCATATAGGCCTCTCGTCCATACATCGCCCCGTCGTCTTTATTTGATGACGTGAAGCTCTCATACAGGCCCCTCGGCCATGCATCGCCTCGTCATCTTTATTTGATGACGTGGAGCTCTCACACAGGCCTCTCAGTCGTACATCGCCCCACCATCTTTATTTGATGGCGTGGTGTTCTTATATAGGCCCATCGGCCATATATCGACCCGTCATCTTTATTTGATGACGTGGATCTCATATAGGCCCCATGGTCATACATCTGCCAGTCATCTTTATTCGATGACCTAGACATCACATTATGGACGATCACTCGACCTATCTCTTAGTCATCTATATTTGATGAATTGGACTAGTTATCATGCCGAGCTACTCGCATCTAGAGACTGGTCTCGGTCATCCCCTCAGCAGACGGACATCGTTGCAGCTCCACACCTAGGCCGAAGGGCTCACCCCTTTTGCTTCATTTTGGGGGGCATCCGGTGTACTCTTTTTCCTTCATTAGGATTTTTTCCCACTGGGATTTTTCCTAATGAGGTTTTTAACGAGGCATCTCCCCATTGTGGATCAAAAGGTGTCGACCCTCGGCCCCCTATTGAAGACATCACGAGACATGCACTACTCTACTCCTCTTCACCTCACTACATTCACCTCAAGGAGTGGGGGACTGAAAGAACGGGGACTTAGCGCCTCCGTTAACCAAAGAAGCAGAAATTTAAATTTATTCACGAAGTTTACTCATCAGATGATAGATCAGCGCACAGTTGTACTCCTGTTTGCCTCAAATACTCTCGACTCAGGGAGTGGGGGACTCCTGATAGAGTATATAGACTTGGACCCCCGGGTCTCACGACTATTGGGCCCGGAAAACGGCCCACACACGTTTATCGGATGTCATTCATATTATTGTACATTATTATTCAGATGTTCTAGATTAGCCTTTTATGTTATCAGTTCTTTTATGTAATCGGGTCTGTCAGGCCCATATTAGAGGCCCATCCCGGATTTCTCTATATATACTCCTTTTGGAGCTTGTAAACCCTAGAACCAATATTCACACACATTTTTACTATTCTATCAATCTTCTCCATACATAGCTCAAATCTCTCATAATTATATATGTTTGGATCCCTATAATCCATCAACATCGTACTTGTCTGTTTATTAATATGCTTTCCATGTATGATTACTTGATTATCTATTTTGAATGTGCGATTGCATGATTTATCGTCTTATGACTGATTTACCTTCCATGCATGATTACCTATTCAATAAATGTTTGATCATGTATTTTGAATATGTTCTGGTCTATATATATTGGCAAGCCTGTTATTTTAAGAAGGAACATTGCACTTATGAGAGGGATTCAAAATCTACACATAAAAAGAAGGATTTTTAAAAGATGACAAGGCAAGCCTCAAACATAGAAGACACGACCATACAAGGAAACACAGTCTCAACGAATCAACTCTGGCGATCTATATATTGAGATAAAAATGAAGATCAAAGGTGTGCTTGACCAAGATAGAAAATATACAAAGAACTGAAGAAGATTTCCATTGAAATATCATAGAAGGCCAAGAACCTGGAACAGCTCTCTCAGGAGTTCTAGACATAGTTCTTTCCTTTTTCTTTTCTCATGTAATGTGGTTTTGAGGATTCACTTGGTAAAAGCTTCCTCTTGGTTGGGATGTGTGTTGTGAGAGGCTTTGTTGTAAATCTGAGTGGCTCTCTACCCGCAAGATAGAGATGCATAACTCTTTCTAGAGAGGATAGAGTTGTGGTGGCTCAAGGGTAGACCGGTCGGATTTATCTTGTAACCATTTCAAAGGCTTTAGTGAAGTTGTTTCAAATTCCTCCGAGGGAGGTTTTTTAATCCCTTTTGAGCCAAGAGATTTTTTCTCGTTAAATCCTCGTGTTCTTATTTCATGTTCTCCCTTCGCCCCACACTAGAACTTGGCAAAAAATTGTCTTATTTTCGGAGTCAAAGGTTCCATGTTTGGCATGTTCTGTCCCATAATAGAATCTTGTTCTATATTTTTATCATGACTAGTTATTCCCTCTGCATCTAATTCTTCTTCACAACTGGCCACTTCTACAAAAAACAACTGAGTACCCTTGCGGCTGCACCTGTGACCTGTAGCTCTTTTTTTGCTCTTTCATTCGCTGATACAAATCTTCTTGGGGCTGTGATTGCAGGCCATTTTGGGTTACTGGAGCTATTTGACAAGTTTTTAGGCAATGGTTTGGATGTAGAAATTTTGTATAAACTGGAAGGTTTAGCCTGATTAGTCAAGGCTTCCACAATATCTTCCTGTAATCTTGCAAACTCTATTGCTTCAGCCATGTTTTTGGGGTTAAAAGCGTTCACAAATGATTTAAGTGTGGGCTTTAAAGTAGCTAAGAAACGGTCCAAAAAAATAATCATCACGTAATTTTGGATTTCTTTGAACCAAAAAGAACTTTGATGTGTTCAAATTCATCCACAAACTCTTCTGATGACCGCAACAATTTCACATTATTGAATCTTTCCACCACTTTGTTACCACTGTTATCATTAAATCTAGCAGAGATATCTGCAACAAACTGTTTCCATGACAACTTCTTTTTTGACAGAACATAATTCCCAAACCAACTAGCTGCTCTACCCTCAAGATATAAGGAAACCAAATTAACTCTTTGTTTATCATGAATTGCACAGAGTTTAAAATATCTTTCACATTTTTGCACCCAAATTTTGGCATTCTGTCATGAAGATTCAAAGGAAGGAAACTCTACCTTAGGCATGAACCGGTACAGTTGTTGGCCATATGAGGATTTTCTAGAAGCATCTCCTACATCTTCTTCTTCTCATGAACATTCTCCTTCCGCACTTGAGGTATATCCTTCTTCTTCATTTATTTCCTTCTTTCCTTTCTTCTTTTGCAGTTCTACCACTTTTTTCGTAACCTTTGATATTATATCCCAAATGAGCTTTTAAGGGGTAAGAATTATAAGAGGTAGGATTGACGAATGCTTACTAATAACGAGTTTAATAGGATTCCATCTTTTGATCTGATGTGATCATGTTGCCTTACATGCCTAACCAATTTGGTGAGTCTAGGCTGATTACGAATTCTGTCATATTCAGTTATTACTTAATCTACAAACAATGCAGTCTGAAGTGAACTTCAATTCTTAGGAAGGCTTTCACATCCCAATGTGGTTATGTTATTGGGGTATTGTGTTGAAGAGAAAGAACTCCTACTTGTCTGAGTTCATGCCTAAAGGAAGATTAGAGAACCATCTTTTCCGAAGTAAAGTGTTTCTTTTTGGAGCATTTGAAATAGATTTTAAATATAAAACCTGATTGATGTGATCTTCACAATCCCTTCATTTCTTATAGCAGACTATCTCATTACAAAAATGAATAGTGATAAATGATAATGATATCACATATTAACCATAAGGCTCCATAATCTGGCTCATTACTCATTAGAATTCCTCGTGTTGCACTACAAAATTTTATGGGTTATTCTTCTTCCTTCACATATAGGGGCTTTGGAACCACTTTTGTGGGCAATACGAATCAAAATAGCCATAGGAGCTGCACAGGCTCTAACTTTTTGCACACTTTGCCTAGAAGTTTGACTTCAAGGCTTCCTAACATTCTTCTTGAGTAGTTCTTGATTCTTTCTCCATTTCTCTCTTTTCCTCCATAGATTAAAGTTCGGTTCGGAACCTTGAAAATGCTAGGGACAGAGAGGAAAATAGATAGAGTTGGAAGAAAGGAATATTAGCTTAGAGGAGAAAATAAATTATTCAAATAAAAAAAATGATTTTGTATATTTGCTCAAGCAGTCAAGTTCAATTTATTACATAAAGGCTGAAATATGCTCCACATAAATGCCTGTAAGATTTTAAATAGTTTTTGTTAAAATTGGTTTTCGTTACGTACTTTCCAAGGTAAACGTACAACTGCATGTATAAATATACGTAAAAAATTGGAGTTATGATTATTAAGAAGTGCCCCCTTCCCGACGTTCCCGTATAATTGCTGCTTCAAGCATAGATTTTTCTGTCAGAGACTCAGAGTGATTCTTTTGGAACTGTTTTGTTTGTAGAATTACAATGCTAAGATATCATATTTTGGCTTAGGTAAACTCGGACCTTTGGGCGGAGATTCACACTGATCACACATTACAACACGAATAATTGGCACACATGGCTATGTTGCACCTGAGTACTTTGCCTTACTGCTTGTATTGATATTCTCCTAGAAACGGCTATTATTCCTTTTAGAGGGGAATAATATTTCTGTTCCTTCTTTAGATTCTTAACCTCATAAGAATCTAAGACAATCATTTTTTAGAAAAGCTCAACTTGCATAAGATGAAATAAATAGAAAATGCATAAGTTTATAGACTACATGCACCACGTAACTTTGATGATAATTTAGACACTATACAGTCTATACGTGGTGACTCTAATAATCGAAAAACTAAATCTACTATTTCGTCAAGATTGAGGAACAAATGTGTCATTTTTTTAATATCGAATGAAGTGGTAATTTTGATGTGTACAGGACACCTATATGCAAAGAGCGATGTGTATGGATTTGGTGTGGTCCTGCTAGAAATATTGACTGGCCATAGAAAACTTGGTAAAATGGGCAAACCCAATGGTCACATGGGAAAAAGCTAAAGTCCGTAATGGATTCTAGGATAGATGGTCAGTACCACTTCAAGGCAGCTTTACAAGCCCTCTGAACTTACTCTAAGATGCCTAGATGAAGAACCTAAGCAACGGCTTTCTATGAAACAAGTTGTGGAAATATTGGGTCAAATTGAAGCTATGGAGATGTCCAAAGACTAAGATCCCAGGCAAAATGCTCAAACAGCACCTGAACTATTTAGTTTTAATGGCGACTTGTTGGATGCAGTTTTTCGGATCAGTACAATAATCAAAGTATATGCATAAACTGCAGAATGGTTGTTCTTTATAAAATTCAATGAAGTATCTGGTGTAGATTTACACAATAAAATACTGTATGCAAAATAGAGCTTATTGTAATTGTTCTTTCAGCGTCTGGGTTGGTGGAGGCGTGGGCGATTGCAGAAAGCACGGCCATTGGCTTTCACAAATGCAGCTATACCCACACTCATGCTTGCCCAAATCATTGAAAATAATAGGTTCCAGGGATCATTTCGAACTGCACATCCCAAGCACACAGTTTTTATTTATTTATGACACAAAGAAGTCACGAGGCATTACTAGGTCAGTTGAGCATTACCTTGGCCGGTGATTTCTAGTTGTAATTACTCTGTCCCATTATTTTAACTGAAAAGTATTTTTCGTGATGCGTTTTCTGATTTTCCTTGGGGTATGTTTGGGAGTTAAGTTTTGGAGGGGAGGGGAAGGATGAGAAGGGTTTAAGATCCTCCTGTTCTTGTTTGAGAGTTTAAAAAATTGGAAGGGATGGTTTGGGTCTTTTGTAACTCTCCCTAACCCTTCCAATGCTCAATTTTCAAATTCCGTCAAATTTGGAGTTTTTGAAGGATAACTAATTAAATGATAACTTTAGCCAATCAAAATGAATACAAGTCCAAGTATTTAAATTTCTCACGTCTTTGAAATGATTTGATATACATTATATAGCCTCTCTTTTCAAATTTGTAACTCCCAAAGAAGAAGGATTTCCTTCACTTCCTCTCCCCTTTCCTCCTATTGCTAACCTTCAAACCCTTCCCCACCCCTTCCCCCAAACGCCCAAACATACCCTTGCGAGACTTTCCTGTTGGGTTTCATCTGGATATTTTACTGAAAATACTGTTAGTCAGTTTTTCTGGTAATTTCTCCATGACAACCCTAACTTTCTAAATTCTCTCAAAAGTCTAAGTATGTACCTCTCACATAAAGAACTCGAATAGAAATGATATAAAATATTAATTCTTTTACCACCTAGATGCAAGAATCAGTTGGGCACCTAGGCCGGTTTCTACAACCAAGAGTACTATATATCCCAATCAAATCATGACAACTCACCTCGTCTTAGCGACAAGGCAGCGAGAAACAACCCGAGAATAATCAGTGCAAAAGCCGCTGGAAACGACTGTAATGGAGTCAAGAAAAACTGTTAGCTGATTCTCTGCATTAACTGTGGAAAATCATGGAAAGATAAACCTAGTTAAAATTTGTAACTACATATTTCTGGCAGCACAAAAGATGAATCTGATTAATAAATGTCTACAACCTACTATAGGTGTCTAAAAATAACAAATAATGATTAAGAAAAGGTACTCACAGCAACAGCTTCAATGCCTCCCCGCTGAGATGTCTGCATTGTGTCTCGTGCAACGGAGACAATATAATGCCCTTGCAATAAATCAATTGCATCCTTTGTAATGCAAAAAGAAGTCATGATGATAATCAGTAACTTCATCAAGAAAACTTACTTTTGGTGGGCCAAGATTAAAAATTGTAATACATGGAAGTACAGAAATGAACTTAAATATACATATATTTATAATTAGCCAAAATGGGGGCGGGAATCAAGTCGTATCCACACTTGGAACGGGAATTTCTTTATTCCTGGGGATTTTCATTTCTTGAAATCTCCCATGGGGGTTGCTTGATTCTGGACAACGATTGAACTCTCGCTATTTCAAACATGCTTATATCTAATTCTAGGTCATTCAACCCCCACTAATCCAATTCCGACCATCAAATCAATCCAAAAAGGATATTAAATATGTACACTTCTCAAGTATGTTGTACGGAAAATTCAAAAAGTACACGACACAGGTATGGGGTATATTTGCAAATACACAAAACGTAGATGCAAATTTGTACAAAAACACAATTTTGTTTTAAAGGTTCATAAATAAATAAACATAGTACATTAGTACCAAATGCTCATAATTATGAAAAATAATAGACTTGAATTATGAAATAAAATAAGAATGCTTAAAACTTTGAAGTTTAATAACATAGGCTCAATATCTTTTGTCTGTTTACATTTACCAATGGGAAGATGGAAAGTTTCAAATACCTTATCTTTTAGCTCATCAATGGGAAGATGGATAGTTTCAAATACCTTATCTTTTATCATGCATGTATAAATTGTTTTAAATATCGTATCAGAAGTTTCTATTAAAAATGGGGGCGGTATTTTAATAAAATTATGCATACAGGGTTGATACATATTTACGTCCTCGATATGTATCAGTACCACATACATAACTAGGTACACGGATACAGCACCATGGTAAACTATCGGTGCATCATAACTTCTCAGCAGCGTAATAAACCTAGCTCAAGAGGGAAGGTTAGATCCAAATTGAGTACCAATCCACAGTCACTTGTGGAGCTGATGAGGGAGGAGCACATAAAAAAGGAATGCAATGGGCTTTATGAGTGCATAAAGTAACCAAGTACCTGTTTGGTACCGTCTTGGAAGTTGTTCAAGTAGTAGCGTTTCAGGGCATTGTAGCCATCGGCGATAATCCCTTGGGCTGTTCTTTGACCACATCTGCACATCCAAACATCTCCCTATGTTATATGCAAGTTTCATCAGTAACAAGAACTAGTGGGAAAAATATCATTTAGATAAGCTAAAAACTCATTAAATAATTTATTTTGAAAAAATTCCACTTTTGGTCCTGTGACTATTATACCACTTCCACATTTAGTCTCTTACTTTCAGATTGTCCACATTTAGTCCGTGACCATTATCCCCTCACCACCCCTCGTCCTTCCGGCCAAAATTCCGGCAAATTTAATGCAGATTTTAGGTATAAAAACTCAAATTTAATGCAAAGACTGATATGAAAAACCCAAACTTATATAAAATTTAATGCAAAGACTGATTCTGAGGATGATAAGTGGACTAAATTTGCCGGAATTTCGGCCAGAAGGACGAGGGGTGGTGAGGGGATAATGGTCACGGACTAAATGTGGACAATCTGAAAGTAAGGAACTAAATGTGGAAGTGGTATAATAGTCATGGGACCAAAAGTGGAATTTTTTCATTTATTTTAGATCATGGTTGTTGTTTTTCACATGTCACAAAGACAAAGAACTATAAATAAATGTAAATAATTATAAAACAATAGGAAACTAATTACATTTAGTTCTTTACACAAGGTTTCTTTTAGAAAACCAATCAAAAGAGACATAGTTAGTTACCGCACAAAATCTCCCTTTAAAGCGGGAGTTCCGGAATATTGGATACTTATGTCATCACCATGATCAGCCCACACTGAAGACAACAAAATTAGGAGGGTTAAAGCTTCAAAGTTAAAAAAGATAAATATGAAAAGATATAGACAGGAGTTGCTACATAAGTTTTTACATTTTTTGAAGCTCTCATCAAGGTTTGGGTGGCTGTTAATTGTTTCTTCAGCACTAAAAACACCAAGCCTTTTGAATTGGAATTCCAACATTTTCCTACCAATCATGCTCTGCAAACATTGTGATACAACTTTTCTTTTACAGTCTGTTTGGAACTCGGAAAATGCTAGTGAAAGAAGTATGGAGAAATATATAGAGGAAATTTATAAGCAAAGAAAATGTGGAGGGAACCTAAACTATGTATGAAACTAAAAAAACGTCAACATATTTTAGTTTCCTTTACATTTTCCAAGGTAACTAACAACAAAAACAACATTCAAGTCTTAATTCCAAAGGAGTTAGGGACCGGCTAACATGAATCGACATATGATATCGCAGTTACAAATAATGAATAGAGAAAAAGGGAGACAAATAAATATAGATCAATCCACCACATGTATACCCTCCTTCAGTCCACTCTCTCCAAAGTCATACTCTCATCTAACCAGAGAAATGTCATATCACCCCTGATCACTCTAATCCACGTCTCTGTAGGTCGTCCTCTATCTCTCCTACATTCATCCTCTCCCCACCTTTCAATTCGTGTAATAGGTGCATCACCTTCACATCTTATCTTCAATACCACTTTTCGCCTAATTATCTCATTCGTCAATTAGTCTCTTCTAGTATATCAACACATCCCACAGAACATGTGCATCTCAACCACTCTGATCTTTTGAATGTAAATTGTTTCACTGCCCGACAATCTACACCATACAATAATGGAGACTCAATTGTTGTTCGACAAAACTTACTCTTCACTACATGACGCACTCTTTTATTCCATCCACGTCGTTTTCTTTTAGGGGATACATCTCCATCTAACTCTATGCCCTTCTGAATTATGAAGTCCAAGTAATGGAACATATCACTTAGCAGGGTCTCTTTACCATTCAAGGTAATTCCAATATTACCATTGTTTCTACTTTCTACCCACGCTAATATTGCACTCCATATACTTAGTCTTGCTTTGACTCAGCCTAAACCTCTTTCTCTCAAGGGTTTGCCGCCATAATTCCAAATCCGCTTTAACACATGATCTTGGCTCAACAACACAAATTCCTCGGGAAAAATCATGCACCATGTTATATCTTCTTGAATTGAATTAGTGTGTTCATCCATGACTATAACAAACAATAAAGGACTTCGAACTGATGTTGGTGCACTCCGATAGTAATAGGGAACTATGCAGTCCTCCCTACTAAGGATACTTGTAATACAATCTTATACATATCCATGATGATGTTGATATACTTACGTGATACGCCTTTTGTAGTTAATGCCCACCAAAGGTCTTCTCTAGGTACCTTATCAGTACGTCTTTCCTAACTTAATGAACACCAAATGCAAGTCCTTCTTCGTATATATATGAACAAACATAAAAATCCCTTATAATTTTTTTCTTTTCCTAGCATATTCCTATATTAAGCAGGGGTGCAAGATTAGGGTAAACCTATATTATTAGCTATGGGGTAAACCTAGGCCCAGGCCCATCCCAAATTTCAATTTTATTTATATTATTAGGGTAAAAAATCGTGTAAACAAATTTCCAAAAAAAACGTTGTACTAGCCCACTCCAATATACTGCACTGCCTACACCATTGGCGGTAAGACAAGCTCACCAATGCTTCAAGTATATCCATTAAATTTCATGTATTAAATTCATAAAAACCATCATGTTTCAAAACAATTTTGTCCTTAAAAAATCATATTCCAGCAAAAGAAGGTAATCTAATTGAACTTAATTTTTTTTTAAAGTATTCCAAAAAAACGTTAATGTCGTTGTCTCGTTGATAATTACAATTTGCAGATAAGTTTAGAAAAGCAAACAGCATAGATAATATAAAGAGTTGTACCTTGCAAAAAATTAAACGATGTATCTTAATGAAACATAACTCTTTTTTTGGGGACAAAAGGAGTATATATCTAATAGTCTTAAATCTTAATGTTTGATAGATCAAACATGACCACATATTGACTCCAAAGCAATGTTCAGTCTACGAAATGGAGGGAGCAGATCAAATAAAATTGATAAATAAAACATTTTAATTGCACCCAGGCTTTATTTCCATTTGTAGAAGAAAGCTTTTAGATTTGTGTTTCTTTTAATTTTGAAAAGTACAAAATTCAGCTTGGAGTTGTACCATTAAACATATCTCTATTTATTTTGCATCACAACAAATATCTTTCCACTTTTGATTCTTTAAACATCGCCCTAAGAGCATTCTTTACTATTTTCCTTAAAAAAATAACTAAACCGTATTCTAACACCATGGTATAAGAGTGAAAACATAAACAAAAACTTATAGCTGCCGTGATTTGCTATCTTAAGAAACTGATATATTGAATTTGAAAGGAGAAAACAGACCTGAGTGACATTTGTTCGATCTAAGCAATCTATGCAATTAGTCCTCACAACTCCAAGTTGTGTCTCAACTTTCTCACCTTTTTCATTCAGTAAAAAGTACCTTAAGATAAAAAGAAACTCATATATGTCAATAAAACCATAGGGCTCTGGCAATAGAAAACCAAGAAGCTCTAAATAGGGGTCAGCTTCAAGTAAATACCCTAGCACATAGAGACCTTCAGATAGTTTATGGTCATTAACTGGCAGTCTGTGTTGAAGGTTTTTGTGGTCTTTGAAAATTTTGTGTCCCACATAAATACATAAATATTAAATCGAGAATGTGCTTTTAAAAGGTCAGGAGTTCGATGGGACTCAAAATCAATTTTGTAGTTTTTATAATAATTGCTATAAGAGATCCCTTGGAATTGCTTATATATGATCATATATAATAGTTATAACAAGCGCTCCCTTAGGATAATCTATTTGATCCCTTTTTTATTTCATTGGAAAGTTAAATTCAAGTATTGCAATTAATAAGGGATATTTACTAATATATGACTAAAACATTGACAATTTCAGAATATATGACTATTAATATATCCCTTAGGATATTTAATCCCAAAATATGATTAAATATTAGTTTTATACATACGAAACACTATCATATTGGGAAGAAAAAAGATAGAAGTCATATTTTGGGAAACACATTAAATTTTAGTCATATGTGGGTTAATTTTCTCAATTAATAACCCATAGTTATCATTTGATCATATCAAAGTGACATCAAGTTTTATGTTTGATCATATCTAAGTTTAGGATAATCCATTTCAACACTTTTTATTTCTTTGGAAAAATAGATTCAACTATTACAACTATTCATCAATTATTCAAGTATTACCCAATCATTCGTTATTTAAATAGCTAAGCGTTTGTATTTAGCTTATGACGGAGTATATGGGTCTGGACCCACAGTATACATCCTCATACAACTCAAGCTCGGCCAGACTCGCGTCTTACGTGATCCCTTGGTCATGCCCCTCGTCAGGAGTCCAAGAGCAGCATCCCAAAGAGGCATCTCCACCGAAGAAGGCTGGCAGAGTGACAGACAACACTCACACCCATCACCCATTGTCTGCGACCCCTCATCCACAACTCGGCCAGTGTCACATGAGGACACCACGTCACAGGGCGAGACAGTACTCATGGCATGAACACTCTGCCAGACCTCACCTACGAACTAGGGGCTCTTTGTAGCGACAATCGAGGTGAAGTGTCATGCTTCCAGGGCAAAGAATTTCCCCAGTAGCAAGCACAAGACAGTTCATCCCACAATCAAGCTAGTCGCTAGATCCCATGTTCACCCCTCGGCCGTGGCCAACTGGTTCTCTACTACGAATAGTTGGATGTAGTTTGTCTTCGGCGTATTAGCAGTCTCACGCAGCATGACGTGGCCACGTAAAGGTTCCTTAAAACTACTTCTACTCCTTCAGAGATAGTTGGACTCGGGCCGACCCGGAAACGGCCCGGGACCGGTACTGTGCTGAACCGGTCCAGGTAGGTCCGAGTCGCCCGACCCGGGGGTCCCGGTGCGGGCTCGCGTCACTCAAAAGCCGAACCGGCGGCCGGTTCGGGCCCGGTTCCGGGCTTTTTAATTTTTTTTTTCAATTTTTTTTAACATTTCGGGTTGGGCTGGGTATTTTGGACCATTTGGGGTGGTTTGGGGGGTTGGGTGGGGGGTTAATTAGGAAAAGGAAAAATAAAAATAAAAAGAGGCCCGGCCCGGACCCAATGGCTACCCGGGCCGGTCCCGGGCCCACCTTTTCTGAACCGGCGGCCCGCCCGGGCCTAGGCCCGACCCGGCCCGAGTCCAACACTATTCAGAGAGCAGAAGTGATTCTGGTTCTCTAATTTACTCTTAGAATCGGTTTTTTTAGAAGTTGGGGTGACCAGCTTCTGAAAACTGATTGAGATTCTGATTCTACTTTAAAAAAGAAGCAGAAGCGAAAGCAGTTCCAAACACCTCCTTTAACTATCATTCTTTCTAGTATCATTAGCGATATCTGGTATAGCTATCAAGCACGTTAATTAGTAATTCAGAGTTAGACTTCAACTCAATTGTTCGGCTGAAATCCATTTTATGATAGAGAGCAGGGAGAGCAAGCGGCGAGAACGGACTTGGGCCCATTTTTGTGGGCTGACTGTGGGCTGGAATAATAGTTTTATTTATTACTATCCTCCGTTCCATAAAAGTTGCAACAGTTTGACTTTCACGTTTGCCAACGCGCAACTTTGACTGTAACTATATTTATTACGTATTAGTAAACATTAAAAAAAGTTAATATATTGGAAATTTACATTAATACAAAGTTATTAATATTTTATACATAATATTTTTATTATATATATTATTAGAAAATCGTAGTCAAAGTAAGGTGTGTGAATAGTGCAGAAATTCCAATGTTGCAACTTTTATGGAACGGATGAAGTATTATCAAGTTTATGTTATGTTTGCTAGTTTGGGTCTATTATTAGTAGAGTAGTTAGTAGAGTTAATTTGGGTCCAATTAGGGTTTAATTAATTTTGGGTTCGATTAGGGTTTTTGTTGAGTCTCTTACTAGAGGTTATTTATACCCCTTGTTAGGGTACATTCTTGGTTATCGTGGAATAAAGTTGAATTTCAGCCTTTTGGCACTGGGCAACGGTTTTTATCGTTGATTATTTTAGGGCAACGGTTTACCCCATTTATTTTTATTTTTCTGCTCTCAACAATTGGTTCGACCTGCCGGATCCTGTTCCGCCGAAATGACGAGATCAATCACTGAATGTTGGACAGAGATGGTGGCCGAGCAAGTCCTAATAAATCAGAAACTAGAAGCGCAAGGAATCCAACTGGCAGAGATTGCAGCCTCCTTGGTTGCGCTCACAAAGGCTCTCGCGCCGCCAACAGCGGAGGAGCATTCATCGACGGTGGCTTCACTCGACGTGGCAGCAACATCCTCGTTCGGAACTGGACTGTGCAACACCTCTCTCATGACGCTGCAATCGTTTGACAGAGAAGACCAGATCGGATGGGTTGATAGGGCTGAGCAACAGTTCAAACCGAACTGGACTCTGCCAGGAAATAAGGTGGCAGCCGTTGTAGTTGCGATGGAAGGATCAGCCGTATACAATTTTGAGATTACACATGTGTTGATGGCTCATTTTGACTCACGGTTTAAGGGCAAGTGCTTCGAATGGTTGTCCGGAGTCAAGCAGACAAGGACTATGGAGGAGTACATCTCAATTTTTGTTCAACTAACAATTCATGTCTCAAGGCTATCTGACGATCATTATTTGGGGTATTTCATGAGCGGGATGAAAATGTTGAGTGACAGCTTTCCTAAAGATACTGGGCAGCCTCGGGGACATATGAGAGCTGGTTTCCGGATTTCAACCTTGAGGACAAGGTTGTTTCGAAGGAGGATGGATTGATAGAGAGCGGGGAGATCAAGGGGCAGGAACGAGTTTGGCTAGGATTATAGTTTTATTTGTTATTATAAAGTTTATGTTATGTTTGCTAGTTTGGGCCTATTGTTAGAAGAGTAATTAGTAGAGTTAATTTGGGCCTAATTGAGGTTTAATTAATTTGGGCTCAATTAGGGTTTCTGTTAGTCTCTTACTATTAGACTATTTATACCCCTTGTCAGGGTTCATTCGTGGTTATCTTGGAACAAAGTTGAATTTCAGCCTTTTGGCTCTTAGCAACGGTTTTTATCATTGATTATCTGGGCAACGATTTACCCCGTTCGATTTTTATTTTTCTGTTCTCAACATTTTTTCAAACATTTTTTCACGATGGAATAAAGCATAATGACTCACTAAATTGTTTGCGCTTCTTTATTATGAAGCAGAAATCAGTCCATGCAATTTTTGACACGATTTTCGTCATGGGTCATCCGGAAACAGTCTCTCCGTGCTCTACTACAATGGTAAGGCTGCGTACACCTAACTCCCCTTTTATCTCACCGTAGGTGAGAACCTTTGAGAAAATTCAGACAATTTAATCATTTTAGCGAAATTAACCCTACCAATGGGGTACCCAAGTGGAGTGTGGTTTGACCCATGTGCATTACGACCCAATTGAGTGATCTCGACCTAATTAAGAGTTCTACTAGAAATTTTCACATATTATTCAAGAACTATGCACATAATGTTTTACATGAGAAGAAATTATACCTGTTTTTGGTGAGGAAGCCTTCAATTTGATCATAAAGTATTGAGAGATTCTCAAAGTGAACATGCCCACACACGTGATGAAAATCGAAGTGCAAGTATCTACAAATATTATAAAGTATTAGCTTGGCTTGATGAAAGTTACTCCGCATTTGACTAAATTGCCATTAGAAAGATATTCCTACTTCACTTCTTCACTAGCACTATGCTGCATTGCATTGCAGAAACTTTCACTTAAGCGTCCCTCTCCTCCTAGCTGTTCCACAATTTAAATGAAAACATAAATTAGTCCAAAGCTTCTACCTATCTGGAGAAGACCAAAACTGTCTTGATTTTTGTTTGAACTTAGTTAATTTATGTAATTTCTAAGGGATCTGCCTTCTGTTTTCTGTGTTATGTTATTTGGATTTGTCATGCTGAATTGCTGATGGAACAAAAGTGGTATTTTCGTTAACTTGACCATCAACAGCCGAATTTGGTAAACTACTTTAGTGACCTGGAAAATAATAGGGGAAGATAAATAAAATAAAACAGAAATAAAAATTGCAAGAAAGAAAATTTGAAGGAAGTAAAAGATTGGCTAAAACTCAGTTAATAGATTTTAGATATTGTTTCAGCCTTAGTTATTTATTTATTCATTTATTTATTATTTATGTACTCCTATTATATAAAGACTAAAAAGACTAACTGTGTGTGTGTCAACTCTTTTTACATCTGAGATAAAAGTCATTAAATTAAATATTAGAAATAATATGTATTCACACCAGAAAGCAATCTATAGTTCTAAATGAAACAATGGATGTTGCTAGAGAAAAATATAAGTACTACCATTATTCTTCTAATAAAACAAAATGCATGGTAGTAATAATGTACCTTATTGACAAGATCAACGGCAATAACATTCCCATATTTCTTTCTCAGATCCAAAAAGTGCCTCTCAATCACCCGAGGCTACACATTTTGTATAGAATATACAATGATAAATTACTAATTATAAGCTCAATAATGAGTAAAGTCTTTGAGAAACAACAGCCTGCTAGGTTACTTACTGCTTCCTCTTGTCTGACTATCTCAAACTTGGGCTTATATGTCAAATCAACAATCTGATCCCACAATAAAGGGATCGACCCTCGAACCTACAAGAGAAAATCCAAAGATTAAAGTTAGGGTGGGCATTTTGGTTCCGTTTGACCAAAAGGAATGAACCAAACAAAACTGGACCATATGTAAATTGGTCTTAGTTTGGTAATGGTTTTCCTAAATTTTATTGAACTGAATCAAACCCTAACTGATTAAAACCAAAGTGAACTAACATAACACAGAAAAATAACTGAAAACAGAACCCAAACAAACTAAGTTTAGTTCTAATTCGGCAATAATTTTCCCAATTAGATTTAAACCAAACCGAAAGAAAAATCCCAACAATATATCACCCCTAAGTAAAGTCAATGCATTTGCAGTATATTTGGATAGAAGAATGTGATTAGTTTTTTCCTAATCTACATATTATAATATTTTATAGCTAGGTCGTCGCCCGTAAGCGACGTGTCATCCCTCCACCCGGGGGTGGTGTCAAATGTGCAAGGGTGCGCTACACTTCATAGGTTTGGGTGTGGTGATAAGAATGCTAAGGCTGCTAGGTCGTCGCCTGGAAGCGATGCGCCACTCCGATGTCTGGGAATGGTGTCAAATATGCAAGGGCATGGTGGGAGTCGATGTGGTGTGAAGAAGAGAAGGCATGGTGCTAGATTGTGTTTGGGACATGGAATGTTGGCTCTCTTACGAGAAGATCATCTGAGATAGCCGAGGTTATGAAGAGGAGGAATATCAGCATAATGTGCATGCAAGAAACTAAGTGGGTTGGAGAAAAGACACGAGAGATTAATCACGGAGGTTTTAAATTGTGGTATTTGGGGAGAGAGAGGAACAGAAATGGAGTGGGCATTATGGTGGCGCATGATTATGGTGAGGGTGTAGTTGAAGTCTTTAGGAAGAACGACCGCATCATGAGCATTAAGTTGATAATAGGATATGAGATCGTGTTCATGGTAAGTGCCTATGCACCACAAGTAGGATTGGATGCATCTATCACTCAACAATTTTGGGAGGATCTTGAGGAAGTGGTGCGAAGAGTGCCAAGGGGAAAGAAGTTGGTCATAGGAGGCGACCTCAATGGGCGTGTGGGTCCAAGTCGTGATGGTTTTGAGAGTATCCGTGGCGGACATGGTTTTGGCACTAGAAATGAAGGGGGGAAGAACATTCTAATGCATATGATAGGGTATCTCGAGAAGTCTTTTGGTGGGCCTTAACTAGAAAAGGCATATCATGTAAGTATATCAGTATCATCATGGATATGTATGATGCGTGTACTACAAGTGTCCGCACTAATGTAGGGAGGACTGCAGAGTTCTCTATTACTATCGGAGTGCACCAAGGATCTGCGTTGAGTCCTTTCTTATTTGCTACAGTCATGGATGAACTTACGAAGTCAATTCAAGAAGATATATCGTGGTGCATGATGTTTCCTGACGATATTGTATTGATTGATGAGACGCAATCCGGTGTTAAAGCAAAGTTGGAAGTATGGCGCCAAACGTTAGAGACCAAGGGTTTCAAATTGAGCCAAAGCAAGACTGAGTATATGGAGTGCAAGTTTGGTGGAGGTAGAAGTAGTAGCAACCGTGGGATTACTCTTGATGGTAAGGAGATACCGGTGTGTGATATGTTCCGTTACTTAGGCTCCATAATTCAGAAGGATGGTGAATTGGATGGAGATGTATGTCATAGAATCAAAGCAGGTTGGATGAAATGGAAGAGTGCATCAGGATTTCTATGCGATCGAGGTATGCCGACTAGGCTGAAAAGTAAATTTTATCGAACAACAATTAGGCCTGCATTAATGTATGGCGTAGAGTGTTGGGCAGTGAAGCAATGTCACATTCAAAAGATGAGTGTGACAGAGATGTGTATGTTGCGTTGGATGTGTGGACATACCAGAAAAGGCCGCTTGAGGAATGAGATAATCAGACAAAATGTGGGAGTAGCACCTATTGAAGATAAGATGCAGGAGTCTCTTTGTGATAGTTTGGGCATGTGCGTAGAAGACCGAGTGATGCAGCTGTTAGATGACTTGAGGGGTGGGGAGAAGAGGCAGAGAAGAAAGGGAGGGAACACCCAAAATAGACTTGGATTAGAGGAATCAGAACTTATATGTGTCTTCTTGGGTTGGATGATAGTATGTTTTGGAGAGAACAAAGTGGAGGGCACACATCTGTGTACACGATTGATGTCTTTTCTATCTTTCCTCTCTTTTTCTTTTATCATCTATCTTCTTTATCTTTTTATATTCTTATATTATTTTAATCTTCTAGCTTTTTTATGCTCTTTTACTTTTTTATATATTTTATCTTTCTTATATTCTTATGTTATTGTTATTTTATACTTCCTCCATTCTTTTTTAATCGCAACAGTCCACTTTTCACATTTGCCAATGTACAAGTTTGACCATTAATATCTTTCATTCCTTATTAGTTAAAAATTAAAAAATTCAGATTTTGAAAATTTAAAGTGAGAAGAATTTAACAATATTTTAAAAAAAAAATTAATTTATAATACATTAATAAATAAAATATAGTCAAAGTAGAATGTGGGAATAGTGCAAAAAGTCTAATGTTGCAATTAAAAGAGAACGGAGGTAGTATTTATTTATCTTTATTTATCCGTTTTATCTTCCTTTTTTCTTCTTCTTTTTTCTTACTCCCTCCGTCCCATAAAACTTGGCCAATGTTGACTTGCACGTAGATTAATAAAGTAAAAACTGTGTGGTTGATATTTGTGCAGAGGAGAGAGAAATAACTTTAGCCACATATTTACTACTTAAAATGGAAATGGCAAAGTTTTTTGGGACGTCCAAAAAAGAAAAGTTGGCAAAGTTTTATGGGACGGAGGTAGTATTTTTCTTTTTCTGTTTCTTTCCTTTTTCTTTTTTTCCTTTCTTGTCTGTCTTCTCTGTTTGGCATCGATATCATAGATCGATTCATGTTAGTCGACCCCAAATTCTTTTGGGATTAAGGCATGAGTGTTGTTGTTGTTGTACATATTATTATAGTTTAGATTACTCAGACTTTATATAGTGGATATAAATAAATAATATGGGTATCAGCAAATATTCAAAAGTAATTTATTGAGTTTTAAGGTATCTACTTGTTTCCCTAATATATTTTCTATCCTCCTAATTTGCTCCATGTTTTGATTTTTTTTTCCCTCCTATTTTCTTTCCCTGGTATTTTCCACACTCCAAACAAAGGCTTGACAACCCCTTACCTCAATCTTTTATATTAGCCAAATGCATTTTATGTTAAACCAGAATTTGTCAATATGTTCAATCTAATGCCTACCTGAACAAATGATGCTGTAAATCCATTCATTAACAAGATTTGTTCACTTTCCACAAAATTTGCAACATATCCATCAGAATCAGCACCTCTCCTCCACATCCGTGTTCCTAAATTGATGTTCATATAGAAGAAACTGAAGACTCTCTTTCTTGTTAGTGAAGAGTATTCATTCAGATGGCTTACTTTGTGAAGAGCATGTATCTCTAACCTTTAGTCATTTTCAGCAATAGTGAATATATATCTTATCTTATTCAAACTCATCACTTTTCATTATTTATATTCTAAAGAGCTTATAGTGAAAACTCGGAATTGGAATCGAGAGAAATTTGGGGTTCTTAATACCAGTTCTTCTATTGCACCTTCGTGCAATCAGTGTAACATCAATAATATCTTTTCCAATGGCTGCTTGGAAGTTGTGAAAACCTGATAACTAGTCAAGGCATAACTTTGCATTGTTGTACTGGTTAGGAGGGCGGAATTTTGCAACAATATAATGTCAGTGTAATTGAAAAGAGAATAATATTTCCTTCATGTAGAAGAATTTATTATTTCACTTTAGGTTGGAAGTTTGAAATATATAATTACCACAAATTTGTGTGTGCCAATAATTGAATCGGTTTTAGTCTATTTTTTATTCAAAGGATTAGAATTTAGAAGTAATACTACCTCAATCCCAAACAAAGAGTCATGTTTGACCAATGTAAAACTTCCTAATTTTAGTAAGGTACACATGTCTTAAATCATGAATCGTATTTTTTTTGTTGATTCAAGCACACTTATTTATCGTGTGTGAGTGTGTAACTTTTCTCGTGACTCTTTTTTGGAAACTTGCATGAAAGGTAGTTGCATTTCATTAAATTGGACTCTCTTGGGAGGATGTGTTTGAAACATGTTTTTTTAGTTTGGGCGAGGGGGTGGGGTGGGGGTAGATGGTGTATTTTATATAAAGTAGAGAAATCAAAAACTAAAAGACATTGTGATCTAGTAGACATGTCTTATTTCATGTACTATGAGCTTGACAAAAACACGCAATGGTCAGCTTAGCATATGTACATTGAGTTTAATCCTTTTTCTACTTGACAAATATTTCATGTCACCCCTTTTCTACAAATCCAACACTTTTTTCATCTCTTGAATGTTTCTTCAGTTTTATATAACTCTCACAAAAAATTACCACACAGTCCACATCCCCCACAGTGAATGGAAATAATACACAACAGTCCATGATGCTGGAAATAAAAGAAATGTAAGGGTATTAAAACAAAAGAACCTGTGTTTAGTTTAAGTAAAGAGAAAAGGATACTTCCCTGGAGAACAGGAAGCAAGAAGGGGTCAAGCTGCAAAAAGAAGTATGGGACAGTCAACGATTTGCATATATTATATGGATATCGGGCTGCGTTCATTTAGGGGGAATGGTCGTATAACCTTGCTATCTATAAGAACTTCCATGATGTAGTTGTTCCAAACAAACCGAGGGTCTGCCTGCATTACAAAGGAACAAATATCTGGAGTTAAAATCCCTCAACGGTAAGGGGTGTATTTGGCTGAATCTACTGGATTTTGTAAAGGATAAGTGCTTGGTAACATCCATCTCAGCCAACTAATGAGTAGAATAAGCTGAATAAGCCAAAGTGCATTCCAAACAGAGCCCAAATATAAGAAAATATATGGTCTACTTCACAAACCTAATAACATTGTTTTAAGGAATCGAACCACATGATAGAGGAAGGGCTAACCTGTCTCCAAAGAGGAAGCAGTTTAGATTCACCCAAATCATTTAATCTTTGTGAACTGCAGTACAAATTGCAAGTTTCTGACCATAGGAGTAAGGAAACAAGTATGGTCTAAGATAACATCATAATGTCCTATAAATATCAGTCACCTCAATGTTATATTGACTTCATAAGAAAAGTACAGGCCAAGAGTGCTCTCTGCAACATTTAGTAGAGCGGAAAACTCCGCTTCCATTTTTTTCTGCAATAATTATAATAATAATACAGTAAAATATTGAACACAAATATCCGAAGATGGAATAAGCAGTTTTAATCTTTTAAGTTATATATTTGGAAAGTAGAAAATGGTAGGAAAACGAAAAAATGGTAAAGATTTTCTTATGGGTTTGCCTTTACCTTGACAAATATTAATTAAAATCAAATTTGGTTTATTCAAATTTGATTTAAAATATAATATTTTACATATATTTAGATTCCTTAGTCTTTATGTAATGTTAGAAATATGTAGTTAAAATGATTTTGAACAAATTTGTAAAATTGATTTATTGAGTTTGAAGCAAGTTTTTGTTTTCGCCGTTCTTTATTTTGAATTTTGTCTTCCATTTTCCTCGGTATTTTATTTCCCTATAATTTCCAGGGCTCCAAATGGAGCCTTACAACTTAGAAGAATCTTCAGGATAAGGAAGGGGAAAAGAAGAGTAGAAACCAGCCTGTTCTATCGGAGAGTTCTTGAGAAAATGGTCACATGGTAACACCTTCAATGATGCAACTCTAAAAATTGGATGCCCCATGTAAGAACCAACATGTTCACGTTCCGTTATGACTATTAAGTATGATCCTGAAAGCAATCAATGGAAAATGTTGTGAGAATTCCAGTTGTGATAATCTCGTGTTTCTAAGACTTTATGGTTATGAAATTAAGGTTACGTTTAGTAGCCTTACTTGGTTTGTTCTGCTTATCATTTCAGAAAATTTAGTAGATTAAGTCATTTCAGCCTATAGCAAACTGTCCCAAATTTTTCTTCACTTAAAGGATCCTTTCAAAGCTAAAGCGGTGTAAACAATATATCTACTATTTGCATCTAGTATAATAAATGGAAATTACGAGTATTTATTTATGCCATATAGATCATATAGTGACTGAGGTTGACTTGCCTGCCACAAGCTTTAGCATCCCAACAACACCGAATATTTCCTTAATTTTCGGAACACGTAGTGAACTGCAATGCGGTATATCATCTAGACAAGCAAAATTACATCAAAACGCATGCTTAGGTTGATGAGACTGAAAGGTTAACAAAGTAATACTATAAGCACCAACCAATTAAACTCATTGAAGCATCTTCCCTACTGACTGCCAAACGTGGACCAGAAGATCCATCAGAAGGCTCAATGACATATTTGTCCGGAAACTCCCAGAGCCTCATCTTTGTATACAACTTTTGTTGGTGATCTGTCTTCTCCATAGTTGCCCGAATTAAATCACCACTGAAACTAAACAAAATAGAAGTAGAACAGTTTAAACTGATAAGCATCTCACATTGACTATAGTAATGCAAAAGACCAGGCAAGTATAGATTAATGTCATCTCCTACCCTTCGTACTAGCTTTTGCATCAAAATAGTGTAATCATCACATCAAACTCTTTTTCGAAAGCTTTAGAAAAAGGGATAGAAATGAAAAATGGTGCAAGCTACAGTACCACGCCATTTTCCATTTGCATTAATGTTGTGCCATTTTTCATTTCCAATATAGCTGCACCATTTTTCATTTCCATGGAGATCAAAAGAACTATATAATGTTGACTAATTATTAGATCATTCACACGTTAGTATTTATTCACCATTTTTAAATTCAAGTTAAGCTAAAATACAGAATTACAGACTAATTCTGAGATCACTATTTTCTTGTCTAAAGCCATTGGAAAAAGTCACGCTAAAATACAAATTAATAATGTGACAATCTTATAGATTAGGAGAAAAGAGAATAATAGTGTCTAATTAATGGAAAAATAGGACTCTGGGTATGTTACAAGAGCTCAATGTTGCATCTAAAGAGTAAGATGCAGAATTATATACCATGCCCTTATCTATGCTCTTGTATTAGCAATATGGAAAGCAAAAAAACAACTTCCACGTGCTTCATAAAAACAATATCGTTTCTTGGTATATCAAAAAGAGAAACAGATTCAGTCCTTTTCTCCACTGCAGTGGATCGTCCACAAGAAATTGTATGGGAAAAATAAAAAACATATCACCCCAAGTACTTCTAAAAATTGTAAGGTGATGTCTACATTTTCCCGCATCCCGCGTAGTCGGGAATGAGGTGAAGAATAAAAAGACTAGACAAAGCAATTTTGACACCTTTCCCCTTTCGCATATACAATGTCATGTGTGTTTTTAAGCATCTCAAACTCTGTGAGGCAACCTCACCTTTTGAGATTCCTTTTAAGGTTAGTTATACATGATTTAACGTGGTACTAAAGTATGGTTTAATTATGATTTGTGGGGCACGCTTACTCCAGGTAGGGTCAGTTCCTCTGATGTACTCCGTATTAAGTATCTAACATCATGTGAGCAAACCCATTTCTCAGTATCCTTTTATCGAACATCGGGTGTCTAACTGTCTATACTAGGAATTGTAGAACAAGGAACCCGTTGTACTACAAAAACAACAACATTCATCAAAGTCATATTCCTAAATCGCTAAATCAGTCATTACATGAATCATAGAGAATATATGGTTAAATATTAAACTGAAATGTTCGAACAGCTCTAAAGATCGCGCCTTCGGTCGACAGAATGTTATAAACGCTAAGCAGATCTATAAAAGATGAAGGAATCAAAATCAAACGGAACAGAGGAAGAAGTAATTACCTGAGAGGGGATGGACTACGAAGGTTGGAGAATGGATTGATGAATTATTCAATGAATTCATTCACACAAAAAAGCATCTAACCGGATTCAGAAAACGGCGGAGAAATTAGTGCAATGCCAACTAACATACAAATATTTTGGAAGGATGAATGAAGTAACAAGCCCACAAAGGCCGCCCGCCCTACTTTTATAACTGAAATAACGAACTCATAGCACAAACAGCACAGATGTTTGCTACAGTTGCAGCTCTAAAACAAGGGGCTGTTTGGTTGGGTCTCCAACTCTGAAGACGAACTCGTTTACTACACTAAGCATGTTTTAGGTCTTGGACCAGACCAGACCAGAACAGACTTTCGTAGTTACGAATTACAAAGATCAGACATTTACCATACCAGAATAGACCAATTCAGATCAGGCCAAACCAGATCAGATTTAAACAGACCAGAGCAGACCGGACCAATAAATTTCAATTCAAGTAAAAACTACCTAAAAAAATTATCAATTTTTTTTAATTAGTTGTTAAAAAATAATAATTCTTTTTAAAGTAATAATTTTAGAGTTTATATTATTTATCTCGAATCTACACGTGCACATCATAGTTGACAAACAAATTAATGTATTACCATATTATTTATACTTCGTTAGTGATATATTCATAAAGTTTTTTGAGTGAGGACGAACATAACTAGTTGATATTAAGGCTAAAGGGTCAAATAAGTACATGAACTAATTTAAAGTGTTCAATTAGCCCCTTATATAGGAGGTTCTGCCCAGCCGTCGCATATTGGGGCGATTCCCGGTGGAATTTTTTGATGAATTTTTTTTAGCATGTTCTTCATTAAGTCTAGTTTACCCATACCAAATTTCAGCTAAAAATTAAATCGGGAAGGCAGTGAAATGATTTTCCGAAATGTACTGCGCTGTTTAACTGCACAGTTATCTTCAAAAAATCATTTGACTACCTTCCCGGTTGAATGTTTAGCTGAAATTTGGTATGAGTAAACTAGACTTAATAAAGAAAATGCTCAAAAAGTTCCATCAAAACATTCCACAAGGAATTGCCTCAATTGGCAACGGCCGGGCAGAACCTCCTATATAAGGGTCTAATTGAACACTTTAAGTTAGTTCATTTACCTATTTGACCCTTTAGCCTAATATTAATAACTACGGAGTATAACTTAGTTAATATTAATATTTCACTAGAGCTTACATATTTCACAAATAACAAATCACATTATTAATATTATTTAATTAGACTAAGTTTAAGATATACATGTACATATAAAAAGAGGGTCAATTTATGTTACTTGTGTACAAAGATGCCATTGTTGAGGAAATTTGAGAAAATTACCTAAATAAAAGTTAAACATAACAAAGTTTAGGAGTTGGTATACCGTAGGAATGACTCACGGTGAGGATCCTGCTCCTAGGCTTCTTCTTTTTTCAACAGCGGACTGGTGTAACTCGTGTTTAAAGCAATGTAATTCACATTGATAAAAATGTAACTTGAGTCAAGTTGAAATGTAAGTTGTCTAAAACAGAATATAAGAAGCAAAAGATTGATTCCAATGTAAATAATGAAAAAAAGAGTCTAATTGTGTAAATTACATCCTACAGTCGGTTATGCCGTGCGCACGGTACAGCCGGGGCTTTTTAGGCGTTCTCCGCTTCTTCCCTTCGCACCAGCTCCGCACCAGACGTTCGCACAAGACTTCGCAGGCGTTTTTGCACCGGATTTTGCACAGGACTTCGCATCTCGTTTCTTCAATCTCGCTGGGCTTCTACGATCTGATTTCGCACCAGCAGCTCTTCATCAAAGTTCACCACTCGCCCATCTTCTCCACCCCTTCTCATCCCTTTGTTTTTCTTTCTGGCGTAGTTGCCTGTGTAGTTTTTACTATTTGAGCATGTGATTTTAGGAGACAATGGGAGCCTACTTCGTTGCTGAGGAATCTTTGATGCTATTAATCTCAAATGAGTTTTATATTAAACTTAAATGAGTATACGCCTAAAAGTAATGAACATATTAATATTGAACATATTGACAATGATTTTTATATTAAGATCAAATGAGTACAACGTTCAAAATGAATGAGCATACATAAATGCGCTTTTTAATTTTTTGATACCCATTTTCTAAGGTATAAATGCTCATTTGGTACCGCTTTATGCTCATTTAAAATGTTGCACATTCCAAACGTATACTGAAAAATAATAAAACAAAAGTGAATTGGAAGGTAGGGAGCAGAGAACACTGATACAAAAAAAACAGACTTGATGCTCACCAAAATGGCAAAATTTCATCAATGCTCATTTAAGAGAATCTGTGTTTTTCATCAAAATTACAAATTGTCACTGGCTATACGGCTAGCACCGTACAGTCGGCTGTACAGTATACACTTCTGTCTAATTGGACAATTATTTTACATAAATAGTGTATATGTTTTATTTTTAGAATCAGGGCCATTAAAATGATTTTTAATAAAAAAATCATTTTTGTTTGAATAACAAGGATTATTTTGTTGCGTAACTTGCATTGTCTTGTGGTGTAACTCGCATTATGGCAAATGTTAATCACGTGTAAGTAAGATGTAACTTATTGAGGAAAATTGAAATGTAAATTGCGTGTTACAAAATGTAACTTTAGCCAAACAGAAATGTAATTCCGGTGTATTTGAAATGTAGGCACTACAAAAAAACAGGTTACACAATAAGTGCTATAGGTATCCAATAGCTAAACACATATTACAGAATAAGTTATTTAATGTATTTATGCTTTAATACATCTTTATAAGATTAGGCTTGAAACACTGTGTTCTCGATATCAACTTAAATTGGCAGGTATTATAAGATTCTTTATGCATTATCCAATTCATAAAGTGTTGTATTGTTTAATATGCAGTTTTGTTTCACCAAGTAGGACATACAAGAACAAACAAAACATAAGACAACACTATCATGTTCTATTCTCTCATAGGCTTCACCAAATGCAAATGCATTTTATATTCTTTTTTTAATTTGAAAGCATGTTCAATGTAAGACATGATCAAGATGTTAAGATGGATTAGTAACTGATAATTTAGGAGCATCAGTCTTCCAGAGTTGTATTTATCGTTATAGAACTAGTAAGACATGGTCAAGATGTTATGATGAACGATTCTTCTTTCAATTCATTTCTGCTGCTAATAGGAGAACTAAAACTGAGGGTGTATGTTTCTATTTTTTGTATTTTTTTAATTGCAAATATGTGGCTTCACTTATTTATCAGGGTAGGTTTTAAACATTTTTTACATTGACAGGATGGCGCCTAAACCTAAGCGACATAAAGTGGTGGTGGTACCAAACACTCTACGCTCTATCTTTTGCAATACCACCTCAACACCCCTTCATGTGCCTACCCCTCATTCTACACTTATCATGCCTCATTCTAATTCACCTCAACTTCAGAGATCAGTTCTTAATCAAGCTGGCACCGTTAATCGGCGTGATAAGGCTAATTCCTCAAGGAAGTATTGGACTGTTAATGTGATAGGTACAACACAACATCTGTTTATTGATAAGTTTTACTTATGTAGGGCTGGAGTTAAAAATATTGTTTTTAACATATTGTAATGTACTGGTATATAATTGTAGATGAAGATGGGGTGATTAGTGAGGAGAAGTTGAAAGCTAAGGATGTGTGGAGCTTACAAGGAAAGAAAGTGATCATTGAGTTCAATAGATTCCAACAATGGATTGATGAAGGTGCAGGGTTGACTGGAGTTTGGATGGGTGAACTAACGAGTGATGTAAAAGTAATCCCAATGAATTTTATTGACGGGAGAAGAGTTCCTCAAACGTATAAAAAGAATGCAGTTGTTGATATTGAGGTATTGCCTTTCATATTTACTTATATACAATTTTAGATACACTAATGATCGAATTCACTCATAAATGTAGAGACACTTCTATTTCCAATCTGATGTTGGGATGTTATGGGCGATGAACTCATTACGTGATAAAAGGAAGGAGTTCAAAAATAGATTAAAAATGGTTATGTGAAAATCAGTAGTGCAACAGATGCAGTTATGTGTTCCACTGCTATTGGAATACCGCAAGATCAGTGGAACACTCTCGTAGATTATTGTAAAGTCAAATAAAATTGATTACTTTGAGTTGGGGTGTATTTCTATTTAGACATAAACAAATATGACTACTACGTTCATTATGCATGTGTTTCTCTAGTATAGTGTGTGTGGTGCATCCGCCAATTCGTATTACAGTTTAAGAGTTGTTATACATCTATACTTTGCTCATTTACTTGAACACAATTAAAGTGTATTGAAATGAGATGCAACTGCTAGTTTTACTTCTTTCCTGCTATAGATCTACATGTTCTTTAAAATGATGTGTAGTTTACAATGCACATGTACTAGGAATCTAAGTACTGATAGCTACATCATTGATGACTCGTGTCATTGTTTTGTGCCTCTAATATATCTAATTTAGAACATATTACATATGTAAGGTATTTAATTTCTCATATAGTTCAGATCCCGCCTATTTATGAATTTGATATACGCCATATGTAGACTTTTTTGTTCATTTTTTCAGATTATGTTTACATTATAAAGTAGCACTGCAAATCTGAAAAATTTGGCTGCTTTTTTATTCACCCTCACCAATTTTATAGACATATATGCTATTTATGATTTGAAATTTTTAGTTGAGTAAACCTGAAGTTTGGACTATCTTTTTCTCTTCAGGAAACAAGCACGTAGATCTCAAGCAATTGAAAATAGAAGAATGTTGGAAGCAAGTCATGATGTTAACACTAATTCGTAGGGCTAGTTACTATATGTACTAAAATGAGAGAGTGGAATATTTTGAAATACTCAAACTATCTTATTTTATGAGTTTTGTTTGAAGTCATTATCAGGGCCGGCCTTGGTGCTGTGCAAGCAGTGCGGCCGCATAAGGCCCAAATTGACGGAGGGTCCGGTCCGATAGTTAAAGTAATTAGCTGTTCTGAGCCAAATAAAAAAATCTGCGACATGTGGGAGTCAAACTCGCATTACCTACGGTAAGAAGATAGAGACTTACCAACTTATCAATTTAGCGAGTTGGACTACATTGGTCATTATTAGTACATATATCTTTAGTAAAATCAATACAAATTACTTCCAATTTATTGTATTACTATATGTATATACTCATTGGTAAGTTAACTACGGTATTATTGCTATTACTTTACTATACTACCGTACTCCGTATATATTTAATTTGTAAGTTA